TATCAGGACGGATCTCTAGTTTGGGGACGACTAAGCAGAGAAGGATTCAACTGAGGAAGTGGAGCCTGGTGCTTGCTCTGCTGTGGGGGGTGATGGAGAGGACTTGGGGAGTCTGTGTCTGAAGCGGGTACAGTTCTGGGTTCTAAGTCTGGTGTCTGCCCTCCTTGCCTCCCCCAGCAATGCACCATTCAGTGGTTTATTCTTCCTGGGGATTCGGCCCCCGTGGGAACAGCCCACAGAGCAGGACAGCAAACCTGAGACCAGAGACCACAGGGCCAGGGCAGCTGAGAAGTCCAACTGGCGGCACAGCAGGTTTGGGGTGTCAGGGGCCACAGGTGTGGAGGCAGATGAGGTGGGAGGAGGCTGTTGTCTGTTCACATCTGGGCCTAGGAAAGCTGGAGAGGCCAGCAAGGGTTTGCAAAGGCTCGGCAAGGCGAATGAGAGCCGCTTCCTACCACCTTTGAAAGCACCTGTTTCCCCTCGCTGTCCAGCCATTGCCACCAGGGAGTTCTCCTGGGTGTGGACTGCCCCGAGTAAGGACAGGCCTGGCTTGCTGTGGGTCGGTGTGGCTGACCGGGCCCTGCTTGTCAGTGCAGCAGCTGATCCATTCGAGAGGTACATCCTTCCATCCTGGCCCGGCTCTCGGAGCTGGATCGCACCCACCCAGCAGCTTCCATGCCAATTACACAGAGTGTGGGTGGGAGGCTCATTAACCTCCAGAAGTGGAACTGGTCCAGGGAGTGGTGAGGATGGACAGGGGCCCTCCAGCCGACGATGGGGGGTTAAGTGTGCCAGGTCAGGGGTGGGGGAGCTGGCTCAGCACCATCCCTGTGGTCTCCGCTGCAGCTCTATTTGCATAATTTTGAAGTTGATTGGCCTAAAGGCAACTTTGCTTAATCACAGCTGACAAGTCTCTGGTTGAAACAGCAGCTGCTGCCAATTAGCCGCGTTGGTGCCTTGGTTTGTTATAACTCTCTAGGCAGCAACCCCCAGCTCCCCCTCCTGCCCGCCCCCTAATCTGCTTCAGAAGGAACCGGCAGGACCAGGTAGCTGCCCAGAGAACCTGCTATAGGCTCCAGTCCAGGTCTTCTCAGACTTGTAGGTGCTGGGGAATGGGTTAGCGCACAGCCTCTGATTCAGCCGGAAGGGTGGCGCGAGAGCCTGCATTTCCAACAGCTCCCGGGAGATGCCAGGGTTGCTGGTTTGTGGGCTGTGCTTGGGGTAGCAATGATCTCACCCAGAAGTTTGCAAACTGGGGCTGCCTGTTTGTGTGAATAAAGTTTTATTGGAACACACCATCACTGATTCATGTAGGATTCTCTACAGCTGTTTTTTGTCTACAACTGCAGAGTGGACAAAGACTGGGCGGCTTGCAAAGCTGGCCCAGCAGCTCTTCCTTCAGTGGGCATCAGAACGCCCTGGAAAGCTGGGACAGATGCAGATCCCTCGGCCCCCACCCTGGTTCTGATCCTACAGGTCTATGCAGCCCTGGTGCAGCCACTTCCGGGGATCTCTTAGTTCATCTTGGCCTACCCTGGGTACCATCCCCATTAGATAGCTGGGGAAACTGAGGCTCAGAGTGGTCTCTCACTTCTCTGAGGTCCCAAGCTAGTAAGCTCTGGCCGAGTCCCACCGCATCCTGCGTCGTTGACCGAGGTCCCTCTCCCCAGGGTGCACCACGTCCCAGCTGGGTTCCCTGGCTTGGTCTGCTCCAAATCTGGATTCCACGTTGGGGCCTGCTGTTTGTAACCTTGGGCAAGTCACAGAATGACATGTCCTGTTGCAAGAGCATGATATGTGGGAGACCAGGTCTGTCAAGGGCACTGCAGAGAGCACTTGGCCCCTGGGAGTTATTATCGCCCTACTCCACATCGATATGGGTGGTTTATACTGTGTGATGTCTCTCCCTCCCTGCCCCAGACTGCGAATCCTTTGAGGGCCAAGATAGAGACCCATCCTGCCATTGTGGAATCACCTGAGGTCAGGGAACTGCTGCCTGTGAGCCTGTGAAGGAGGCAGCAATTCCCCAGCAGTGGCTCAGGCAGGGCCCTACGTGTTCTTCGTCTCAAGTCATCCTCCCCATGACCTGGAGGGGCCAGGATGGAGGCATGGCACCATCCACAAAGGAAGAAACCAATCCTCCTCGAGGCAGGTGACCTGCCAGGCAGGTAATGACAGCATAAGAAGCAGCATTGTGATTCTGTGGCCCAGGTGATGTGGGGCCACCAGCTCAGTTCAAAACACGGAAATACAGGAGGATGTTATATGGCCCGGTATCCTCAGTTTACAGATGGGGAAACTGAAGCACAGAGCATTTATGATTGGTAGGGTCTCAAAGGGACAAGGTGTCTATGGGCTTAATAGGAGGAGGCTGGGAATTCATGCTGATTCCCTACTGGAATTAGACAGTTCTGGCACCACGCCCAGCAACCTGGGACTGTGAACTGGAAAAAAAACGCTGCTGTCTCAGGGACCCCCAGCCAGGACGAAGCAGCTTCTGCAGTCTCCACCCAGGCCCCCGTGTGAGTCTCAGCTGCCCAGAGAGGTGGGCCTGTGTGCAGTGGATGGGGCTGGGGGATACTGTAATCATTGTTTTCCTTTACATATATTTTGAACCTTGATTTTCTATTTTATTTTCTGGACTCCGGGCCATAGACTCAGGCTCATCTGTCTCCCTGCTTCCTGGTATTCTCCCTCAGTGGTCCTTGCCAAGACTTCTTTATTTACGTGTTTGTTTGTTAATAGTATAAGAAACATCCTTGACCCATCCCCCAGCATGAGGGCAGGAGTGTCAGCCTGTGCACCCCCCAGCAGGGCCCACTTCACCCCACATCCCCCTGTATGCCTCGCTATAGCCAGATGTGCTCTCAAAAAGTACATTTTATTTACAGTTCTTTTTAGCTTTCTAGAAAGGGTACTATGCTGAACTTCCTCTTTGGAGACTTTACTTTCTCTCTAGCCTCGTAGCGCTGAGATGCCCTGTGCCGTTCTGTGCGGCCGCAGTGCATTTGGGTAGCTGAAGAGTGTTCTGGGGTTTGGCCATAACATCATGCATTTTCCTATTCATCCACTGGGCCGTCTCCAGGGCTGTCTCCAGGGTTTTCCATAGCGCTGCTGTGAGCTTTCTAGAAGCTGGTCCCCTCGGCCGAGAGGGAATGTTGGTGCTGTTCCTCCCCCACAGTCGCTGAGGCAAGGACCCACCATGCAAGAGGATGTGGTCACAGTGGCCTCCCTGAGCCTGCACTGGGATTACCCTCCCTCCAGGTGGCCCTCGGCCCAGTCTGCCAGGCAGGCTGGTCTTTGTGCTTCTAACCTCTGTCAAAGGTGAACTTTTAAAATTCCTGCCTCGTAGGGTGATTGCAAGGAGTAAGTGTCATTGGCGGACCCATACTTTGCTATGTCATAGGTGCTCCAGATCTGGTGCACAGGAGGTCTGCTTTGAACCATAACAAAATCCACAGGGAAGCCCAGGCTCAGAGAGACAGAGAAATGTACCCAGGATCACACAGCTGAGAAGTGGCAAGGCCGGGACTTGAACCCATGTTCAGACCCCAAGCTCAGAGCCCTTTTGTTTCTCTGCTACTGTGCTGAGCCCCAGACAAGAGGCAGGAGGGACTTTGTGTGCCTTGTCCCCTTCTGACAGGAACACTCCCCCACCTCCACCCCCGCCCCGCTGCCCGACTCATCCTTCAGGTGTCCACGCCAGACCCCCTGGTCTGACTCCCTAGCCAGGCGGCCCAGGGCGAGTTACTGAAACTCTACACCTCAGTCTCCGCATCTGTAAATTGGGGATAATCAGAGTACCTCCTAACCATGAAGATTAAATAAATACCACCCCCACCCCCAGCCCCCTACCCCATCAGGCTGCATCAGGCACTCTGGGCGCCCACAGAGCCCTGGTTTCCCATCGTGGCACCCATCGCTCTGGGCTGCCATTGTCGGGACTGTGGCTAGATAAGGGACACCCAGACCAGTCTGAACTCGCTCTCTGTCCACCAAAAGGAATGGAGAAAGGAGGTTTATTTCTGGCCTGTCTCAGGATGGGCAGGCTTCCAGGGATGGGTGGGAGGCAGAGGAGGGCTGGCCTCCTTTATGGCTGTGTTTAAATGCCACCCAGAAGCCAGCCAAGGGCGCCGCTGAGGTACCACGATGCATGAAGGCCCGGGGGTGGGAGACGGCCATGGGCTGGGGCAGTGTCTGCCAGCCAGGAAATGTGGCTGCAGAGGCCAGCCAGGCCCCTGTGCTGAGTCCAGACGGTCATGGAAGCCACTGATGTGTTTCAAACAGTGGCAGGTGTGGGCACCCCCCGCCCCATTCCTGCCCCATTCCCACCCCATTCCTACTGGCAGGGAGGACCCTCTGCTGCTGGGTGGGGACAGGCCAGGGGTAGGGGGGGCAACAGCAGGAAGGTCAGCCCAGCTTGGAGTCAGGCGGGTGCCACACACCCTCTGTGGGCCGGGGTGGGGACTGTTTATTTTACTCACACCCCTCGCCGGGCAGTGCTGGCCAGAGGGGCTTGTGCAGTGGTGTCACTAACCTCCGTTGCCCAACAGAGACTGAGGGCCACGGGAAGGAACCCACATGTAGTGTGCCAAGCATCTGCCGAGGTGTGCACCTGGAGCCCCGTGGCCTCGGTGTGAGCCCCAGCTCTGCTGCTTCTAGCTGTGGGATCTCACAGGGGGTGTCTCCAGTTTACTCACCTGTAAAATGGGGCTCTTGCTGGTGCTCTGAGGATGCACAAGGCAGTGAGACCAGAGCCTGGAGTGCGTGGGGACTGCGGGAGCAGCCGCTGCCATCCTGGGCCTGGGAGGTGGCGGCCCTAGGCCAAGGCGGGAGCTGGACTCCTGCAGGGCTGACTCAGCGCCCTGACCCCACTCCCCGCCCCGAGGAGCACGCTGAATTCTTGTCAGCACACACAAGCCAGCCTGCGCTGGAAAACAGCCTTTTGCCTATACAAGGCCCGACCAAGTTGCTCTCCTTTTATTGGGGTTTAGGGTTGGTGGCAACCAGGAGCCAGGGAAGAGGCCAGCAGCTGCAGGGAGACCGCAGCCAGCGGGGAAGGCTTCTGGTCCCTCAGTCACAGGGCTCGGCAGGTAAGGAGTAGCCTGTGGAGGTTTCCAGGTCCTCACTGTGCAGGGGCACCTCTGTTCCTTCATGCTGGGCCTGGGGTCCCTGCCCTGGCTAGGCAGTCCCTGTAAGGGAAAAGCCAGGCAAGGCTGCTAAGTGACTCCCAGTCACCAAAGAATGGGCGGGGCCAGGGTGACAGCTATGCCAGTGGGGTAAGAGGGGGAGCAGGCTCTGATCGAGAGGGGCGGGAGCCCTGCGGGGGTACACAGATGCTGGCACTACTACCTACCTGCTGTGTGACTTTGAGCAAGTTGCTGGCCGACTCTGCACCTCAGTGTCCTTGTGTCAAGAGCCTTGCACAGAGAGGGGTTGGAGAGAAGGCCAAAGGCTCGGGGCAGGGTCCGGCATGGCTTGAGAGCTGCAGAAGGCCTAGGGAGTGCTCTCAGGACGCCCTAGTCATGGCCTGGACGGTGTTTAGTTGGCTTCATGGGGGTGAGGTGGGTCTGTTCAGCCCACTTCGGAGTCTGCAGTCCCAGTCCAGCATCACACTGGTATGAAATAAGTGAATAGATGAATGAATGAATGAATGAATGCACTGGCCCCTCCCAATACCCCTTCAAGGTGGGTATGTTGTCCCCATTTACAGATTGGGAAACTGAGGCTCAGGGCTTTGGCTTTTCTTCACTCCAGTGAGGAAGGGGTTCTAGGGACCAGGGAGGCGGAGGGAGCTGAAGAGAAACCCAGGGCCACCCTGCCCCCGCCCACCGAGGCAAGCGCCGTGCCTGTCTTTCCTCTTCCTGCCCTGACACTTTAAGTGATTCATTCTTCATGTGATATTTTTGTGTTTCTCCAGTGGGAAAAAAAATGCCTCTGGGATTTCCAGGGGTTGTTTTATCTCCATGGTGCAACCAAATAATTCAGGAGGACGGAGAGAAACAAAGGGTTGTTGAGTTGCAGAAGGCCCACGATTGTCTCAGCCAAGCTGTCCCCTTAATAGGGGAGGAAACTGAGTCTGGCCTGGAGCCCGTCGCCCTGTGACCCAGTGTGGCCCCGAGGAGGACAGTGGGGCATCTAGGGCCTCCAGCAGGGTTGGGGTTTCCAGCTAAGCCCCTTTCAGCTGTGTGTTCTTGCTCAAGTCCCCTCTTCGCCAGGCCTCAGCTTCCCTATCTGTAAAATGGGATCACAGCAGTGCCTACTTCCAACATTCAAGAGAGCAGCACACCCAGAGAACTTGATGGGTGCAGAACTGGTCCAGGCCAGGGGCTCAAAAGGGGAAACCATTGGAACAGCTGAGTCTGTAACTTGGACCCAGAGCCCAGCTGGCTGGGGCATGGTGGAGTCAGCGGGGAAAGGTGTCAGTGAGGGACAAGAGCCTTATTGGGGATACACTGTAATGTTTATCCACTGAGGGAGGGATCTGGGGAGATAGGAGAGGTTTCCAGGTTGGTGGTCACCTTTATGCCTTCCCGATTCCAGCACCCAGGCCAGCACCCTTCATGGCAGTGTGCTTCTCCTTGTGGCCCTGACCCTGAGAGTAGCCCCATGGAGCAAGTGGTTTACCCGCCTGGTAGGGGCACAGTGGGGGCCCGGGGGGTGTGAGCTGGCCCACCTCGGCTGCCTCGGACTCAGGGCGGCCTGTCCCACCAGAGCCCTGGAGTTGAGTTCTAGGCTAAAGTAAGGGGCTTCCACCCAGGGCTGATGGCCCACGGTCACTCCTGGTGGTGGCCATAAAAGTTGAGGCCCTGTCTCAGCTGAAGGAGATCTCCTGCCTGGATCTCTGCTGTTCCCATCTGGAAGTTTGCTCTTTGCAATAAAACAAATCAGGCCAATGAGTGCTAATGGAGTTCCTACTCTATGGCCAGAAGACATTTATTCAGCACCTACTGTGTGCAAAGCATGGTGGGGCAATGCAGAGGCACAAAATTTCCCACCCTTGAAGAACTCGTACCAGGCAGGGAAGCAGTAAACCAACAGATAAGGCAGAGGGAAATCAGGGCCAAGTAAAGGAACAGGCAAAGCATGGAAAGAGGAACTGGGGAAATCAGACGTAGACATGGAGTTCAAACACACTTTCATTTGCCAAGGGGCACAGGACACTCTCTGGTACCTAAACCATCAGCTTTGGGAATAGTGGAGTGGGTAACAGCAGATAAGAACCCTTTATGGATCAACCGCTAATGTTCTGGGTGCCCTGCTAGCTTCTGGTCCTTTCTATCTTTGGTATACCTGCAAGGTGTGGAGCACGGCTCCCGTTTCACAGATGAGGAAACGGAAATCAGTGAAGTAACTTGCCCTAGATCACCCAGCTAGTTAGTGATAAAACTCTGACCCAAGGCCAGGGAGACTCGCTGCAAAGCCTATGTGGTTGCCCCCAGCACCCTGTTTGGAGTTGAGCAGACCTGGGTTCAGATTGCAACCCTGCCACACTCCAGCTCTGCGCAATCACTTAGTTTCTCTGATCTGTGGTTTGTTTATCTCAGAAATGGAGATGATCATTGCCTATGTCCGTTCAACTAATTAACATGTGTTTATAAAGGGCCTACTACGTGCCAGGCCTGTGCTGCCCACAGAGATGAGCAAAAACGAAATGGTCTCAGCAGGGCTGGGTTCGGGGATGTGACCGCTGCAGGGTTAGGCGTTGGGTCGGCAGGGCTCAGGTCACATTGGCCGTTACTGGGGTGTGAGGTGCTGGCCCTTCTCGCTCGCTGTCAGCCGTGGAGCCCAGCACCCCAGCTGCAGGTGAACGGCTGCCTGTCTGTCCTTCTCCAGCCATATACTCCGGCTGCCTCAGTCCTGGCCGGCACAGCGAGGAAAGATGTCCTAGTTCCCTCCTGCCGCTTCCTCCCGCAGGTACGAAGGGGTCACGAAGACGCGCTTTGATCTCACTTCATACGCAGGCATGGAGCCTCGCGAAGTGTTTATTCCTGGACTTCGCGTTTCGGAGTGAGATTTCATAACCTCTAAGTGGATGTCCTGAAAACAGAAGTTCACAAAGTCAGGATTAGGTCTGCGCTACCGAGGAAAGACCCTGGAGACTGGGAAACCTGCGGAGGTTAAACATCCCTGATGACACATGTGTGCACACGTGTGTGTGTGCTGTGTGTGCTGTGTGGAGAAAGGCATGCACACAAGTGCTGCCTGCGGGGTAAACACTCTTATGAGTCGTGGAGACAGGACACAGGAGCAGACCCCGGGGTTTGAGTCCCCTCTCTGAGGCCCGCATTCTCCATCTGTGTAACAGGGAGACTGAGGGTGCGGCATAGGGCTGGGTGGGAAGGGAACGGGTGAGGAACGGGGAGCATTGTGCGCCGTGCTCCGCCCGGGGCTTGGGTGCTCTGCAGCTGCTAGCCCCGTCTCCTTGTCTGTACTTGCTGCCCTTCTGCTGGGCCGCTGCCTACCCGCAGGACTGTTGGTGAGGCCCCAGAGAGCCGTGCCCTGTTGAATTGCTAATCCGTGCTAATGCTACCACTGCTAATCATCGTGCCTACGTAGAATTACGGATCATTACGTAATCTGTTGTCTGTGACCGCCTCCCCCCAGGCTGTAAGGCTCATGGCAGCAGGAATGCCCCATGCCCGACACTGCTGGTCCACAGTAGAGACTCGTTAGGTGATCCCTGAGTGGCGACCAGGAGAGAAACCGCTCCCTGAACAGTGGGGTCAGGAGGGCGGCTAACCGGGGCTGCTTGTGTACGAGGTGGCACTTGAGCCAGGTCCCGTGGGCAGTTTCAATTTGGACATACAAGGTGGGGAAAGGGATGTCCAGGGGCAGGATCAGCTGGGCAAAGGCCTGGACTCCTGAGTGCTGCCACCAGCCGCTTCATGCCCAGGATGCTGGGCAAGACCCATCCTCGCCCCAAGGTCAGCCTCCCGCCCCGCACGACAGTAGAGTAGGTGGGACACGTTTAGGGAACAGGCCATGTGTCCTTTGTCCTCCATCCTGTGGGGTTCAGGCCCGACCGTCATCCTTGTTTAAGGAGGGCCGATCCCGGGGCAGAGGTCCTGGTTCTGCCACCCTCAGCTGCCCATGCTCCGTTCTCCCAGCTCTCTCTCAAGTTAGGACACAAACCGGGCAGGCTTCACAGAGTGCTGCTGCCCATGCTGGCCCCGGGTGAACCCCACCCAGCCCCTGCCCTAGCCTCAAGACAGGCCGAGACCACCCTGGGGAGGGGGGAAGTCAGAGTGTCAGAAGCTCACCTGGGGAGTGGGAGAATCACAGCAGGAGAGCTGCCCTGAGAGATGACCGCCCCAGATGAGCCTCCAGGCTGCGGATTTGGAGAGGGGAAGGGTGGTCCTAGCATAGCGGAATGGCATGAGTAAAGGCCCAGTGGCACCACAGACCCAGAGGGCTGAAGCTCCAGGAATAGGGAGGGCAACAGGGCCACAGGGCCAGGCCACAAGGGGCCTCAGGTAAAAGCACAGCCTTGAACCCAAGAAGTCAGGTAGGTGATGAGGTGGGTACTTGGGAAAGCTGACTCTAGGGGCCATAGGGCTTGGGTTGGTGAAAGAGGCAGAGTCACAGACCAGATCGCAGCAGCAAGAAGCACATGGCCAGGGCTGTCCAAGGCTTCGATGCCTCTCTTCCTTTAGTTGGTGAATTAGTTGCTGATGTTCATCCCCATTCTAGGGCTGAGGACGCTGAGGCTCAGGTGTCACCCCAGGTCACATGGGATGTGGATACAGAAGGTGGAGCCAGGACTTGGACCCAGGCAGAGGGCTCGACCCCCAAGCCCTGCTGCCATAGACCCAGTCCTGCAATGGGCTGGAGGTGTGCTTGGTCGTGCCCAAAAGTGGGGCGTGGTGGGCTGAGGAGGGGCTGGCGGGAAGCCCCCAATGCTGTGGGGAGTCTCCAGGCATCAGGCCAGCGTCCAGGCCTGTGGGAGCCTGAGGTCCTAGCCCCGCCCTTCAGGCCCTCTTGCATCCCGCCCTGCCGAGCTTGGCTGACACAAAAACAGATCCGTTGCTGTTCCTGGTGGGGTTTAATTCATCTTCCCAGCTCTGTTTCTCTTCACGTGCCCTCCTTCCTT